GGGGGGGTGGGGGAAGAAGAATAATGTAAATGCCAAAAGGAGCTGGACAAAAAGTAAGCTTTGTATCCTATCTATGAGAATCAGACGATGTGTGTCATGCAAGTTATTACAGTCACAGTCTACAGTCTTGCCCTGATGGGAATCAGATTTGACAGCAGCACAAAGCAGAGGTTTAACTGACAGCACACACAGCACATTTGCGAGTCATAACGCCACAGTTTAATGACTGACGCATGTGGGAAGCTAATTCGGATTTTTTTTTTCTTGAATGGGATAAATGAGCATCCAGTTAATACCAATCATGAATTCAAGCCATGTGACAAAATTGATGCTACATACCCTGTTCTTCTTTTGCATATTCTGCAAACTGAGCTGCAGGAAAAGAGCCAGGAGAGAAAGTTCATCCTGCTTTCTGACACATCCACCAATTGCAGCTGAATGCATCCAGCTTGCTGCTGTTGTGTTCTCAAACTAATTACCCTTTCTCTGTTAAATAGCCTAAGAATTACAAATTGTATGCCTGTTTTGAGAAAAAGTACAGGTTGAACAAGCAGACGTAGTATAAATAAAATATTTATATAAAAATAGTCTCTTACAAAATATACTCTCTTATCCTATGGTTGATTTTTCCAAAAGATGGAATTTTGTCTGGATTTTCTTATTTTTAGACATATTCCAAACAGGATTTTATTAATGTTTCTTGCTTTAATCGGAAAAAAAAAAACCAACAAATGCAAAACTGGTAAAGATTTGTAACCCCTACCACTCCACTTTTGTTCCAGACAACTAGCAGCAAACAGGAGGAAACAAAGAAACAACAACCCCAAAATACAGTGTGTTTGTGTATATACATATATATAAAGATGCCAGCTTTTGTCCTAAACATCCAGTACTGTCGAACATATCCTGCAAGTCCAACTAATAGAAATATCCTAGTCAAGAATAATATGTACAGCTCCAGTGTTTCCTTGCTGATCCTACAAAATTATTCCACAAAGAAAGCCAGTTATCTACTTTAATTGCAGAATAGTTCCAGAAAGGTTGGTAAAGTTCTTCTTTTAATTAAATAAATTAATATTAGTTTTATCTGAATAAATTGTTAAATATTGTTATTATTATGCCCAAGTGTCCCAAATCCCTGTGCTAAAATCTGCAGCTCACACACACACGAGAAAGGCAGATAAAGCAGTGTCTACAGAACCCTTCCACAGTTCTTCTTGCTGCAGCAAGTGCTGTGAAGAGGAAAGATGGGCAAGACCAGTAGAAGCTTTTCATGAGTGTGGAAGCCTAAATCTGTGTTATCCACACGCTCCCACGGGCAATTTACGGGGAGGCTCTGTCCATCCCATCCTGTGCAAAGCCCTTTTGTAGGGATTTCTCCCCTACCCCTCCCTGCTCCTCGTACACAGAGGTGTTTGACCATCCCTTTCCCAAACCAAGAGTTCATTGCCACACGCAGAGATTCCTCCCTGGCCGGCGTCTCTCCGCAAGGCAGCCAGCGCTCCTTCCTCCCGAGGGGCAGGCTCACTGAGGTGATCCTTTTCTCTCTCTTTCATGTCTCTGGTGGTCCGGGGAGGGGTTTGCTTGTTTTTGTTTCTTGGCTGACTTTATAAGAGTCTGAAATGTGTATCCACATCAGCAACAAACATGAGGAGAGAAGAGAGGGCTCCATTTGTGAGCATCTCTTCAGGGAGAGCAGCTCTTCCCGCAGTTCCGCTCAGCTACGTCGAGTGCATGTGCAAATGTATCCAGGCCGGGGAGCGGCCAGGGCAGGCGCTCACTTACAGGTGTACACCTCTGTCCTCTCGCTGCAAGTGTTGCATTTCACGTAGCAGCACCAGTGGAACTTGCAGTTGCACTGCCACACCCTGGAGTACTGGTGGGTGTTGTAGCCGCGGCCGCAGCACATCAGGTCGCAGCCGTTGGACTGCTGCGCCGTCTTGTTGCACATCCTGCCCTGCGTGCCCACGCTGCCCGTCACCGGGTCCTCCTCGCAGTAGTTGGGGGATTTCTCGATGTACACCAAGTCTGTGTCCATGGGTTTGCGGTAGGAAAGGGGCTTCTTGATCTTGAGGAAGGTGGGGCGCTTGTTGCGGCTGGCCCTGACGGGCTCCACCTGCACGGCCTCATTGTACTTGTCCTTGAGGATGTAGCCCAGCTCCCGGAACTTGGGCAGCGTTGTCCAGCAGGTTTTAGTGGTGCAGGACCCCGAGACCCCGTGGCACTTGCACTCTAACTTCATGTTTTCCTCCAGGATCTGTGGTTAGAAGAACAAAGAAGGATGCATTAATAACAGGGCTGTTAGATGGACTCAGGGATGGGTTGGTTCTGCACTGGGAGCTGCCACCACACGCAGGTCATGCTGCTGTCCCACGCAGCAAATGCTCATCACTTTGACCCAGTTCTGCCTGCAGAGCTGATTCCCCTTCTGCACTGTGAGTTCAACAGGGAGGATAACTCTGCCTGACTCCACAGCTGAGGGACCAAAGCTGGAATGGGCCCCTCCTCAGGCACAGCTTTTCTTCAACAGGATTGCCCAGTGCCCGACATTTTCCTTTTGAAGTTAACAAACCTCATCTTCCCTTCCGCCTTCACATCCCCTGAAACTCTGTCCCTGTATCTTCTCCTGCTGCTTACCAGCCCAGTCATTGCCAAATAAAACTGGAGTCCAGCTTAGTCCCTGCTCTGAGTCCTGGGCCCTGCAGCTGACCCGAAGCAGCAGTGACGTTGGGATAACGCAAGCAAACACACCTAATTCCAGCAATTAATTTCCCTCTTCTTTTACTTGAAAGAGGCCACAATAATTTTGATGATGAAACTCCGCCTAACCTGGCAGAGCCCAGCAGTGGAAAGCCCAGCCAGAGGGATTATCAGGGCTCAGGGAGTGGTCACATCATTTTTCCCCTGAGAAACCCAGCTGATCCATGCAGCTCCAAAACTGGTCAGTGATATGGAAATTGGAATTAACCCTTTGTTACAGCCTCTCCCTTCAGTTTGGGATGTTGGAAACAGCAGACACTGTCACTGGCCATTTCCAGCAGAAAGCAGCAGCCTGCACTGAAGGAGCAAGTCCATCTCCTAGGCTGGACATGTGTGGACACCTCAAGCCTAAACCCTCCACGTGAGCTGGGGGTGGCAAGGACAGAGCACTGACCTAGAGGAAGATGTCCCTGCCCACGGAACGAGGGTTAGAATTAGATGAATTTTAAGATCTCTTCCCATGCAAATCATTCTGTGGTTCTGCGATTTTTTGATTCTATGAAATGGCTTTATTTTTATTTTAGTCTATGAGCAGATTGTCAGCACATGTGGTCTGAAGACAGGATCACAACCCCCAAAAACACAGGTCCAAGCCTTTGACACAAGTGAACTCAGCACATGCTAGGTCACAATTTGTGCTACTGGTTTTAAATCAGCTTCTCATGCAAACTATCTAATGACTGCCTTAAAACTCAGATGTGAGAAAATTCCATATTCTGATCTACATCTTAACTTCTGCTCAAGCTTTGGCTTTATCTTGTTATCTTGAGTTTCCCTCTCAGCCACTGCATACTTCTTTTATTGCTCACTCATTCATAAGGCAGGACACTTGGAAGATAGATGAGGAGATGGAAAAGGAGTTATAGCACAGAAACCGGAAAAATAACATAAATTCCTTTAGTCTCATTTGTACCTTTTTAAAAGCTCTCTTTTTGGAAATTGAAACTAGCCAGGGATGCATTTCTCAGCCCTAATTCAATCACTGCTCTTGCAGAATGGGCTGGCCATACATCCTGGTACGATGTTCAAACTTGCAACAAAATATTTCCAATCTGCCAGGGGGATCCGCCAAATTGGTTTGGAACATTAACACAAAACACATCATGTGCCATCTATCCAGGCAGGGTTTTTGCCCTGAAGTGTAGTTAAGTAGCCTAAATTGCCTTTTGATTTATTTCATTACCATCCCATTTAGAGCCAGCAGTCTCTGAGGGATGGGGGCTCCTTGGGAAGGGATGGGGGCTCCTCAGGAGGGGATGGGGGATCCTCGGGAAGGGATGGGGGATCCTCGGGAAGGGATGGGGGCTCCTTGGGAAGGATTGGGGAATCCTCAGGAAGGGATGGGGGATCCTCGGGAAGGGATGGGGGATCCTCAGGAAGGGGTGGGGGCTCCTCAGGAGGGGATGGGGGCTCCTCGGGAAGGGATGGGGGATCCTTGGGGCAGCCCCCTGTCCTGGGCCGGGCTCCTGCCCAGCCACAGCGCCCCAGGACAGCCAGGCCCTGCTCTGCAGCTCTCAGCCAAGCCTGGCCACGGGCACTCAGGGTTAAAAGGGCTGCTTTTGCCTGGACAGAAAGCAACACCAGCTCCAGTGCCAGGGGTCCTTCCTAGAGGTCCAAAAACACCTGGAAGGGGATGGGAAGGAACAGAGGGATGAGAAAGTTCTGCTTTATTTTTCTCTCTTCCATTTATTGTTTCAGTATTTTCCTAAAGTTTACTGGCTCCCTCTCCCTTTCTCTCTGCTCTTGTCAGAGGTGCCAGAGGTTCCGAACTCTGTGCTGGAATCTCTCTGGCACATCTGCCTCATTTGTGTCCCCTGCCCTCTGCAGCTGAGCTGTTCTCTCCAGACCTGCCTCCTCTAAACCAGCCTCTCCACCTGTGCCTCATAACCCCTTTTGTTGCCTCTGTTCTTGCACACAAATCCATCCTCCTCTCTGGGCTTTCAGGGCTGTGTCCTGCAAATTCAGCAAGGCCGAATTGGCTCCCCAGCCTGTAGAAATGAGGCTACATGGAACTTGAACTGTCTGGCCTCAGCAAAAGCAAACCCAGCAGTGGTGATTTGATGTTTCTGTTGTACTCTCATAGCAGGTGCTTGGACTATTTGTTTTACATTAAAATATATGGATGGTGGCATTTTAATACTATTATGTTATTCCAATACCCTCTGCTGAATCAGTGCCAGTGATATGAGATTCTTTGGGTAGGGACACAGACCACAGTCTTTTCCTTGGTTTCCATGAGCCAAAAGCAAGCGCCCTTCCCTTAAAAACTTGGTCTGTGTTAAAACCAGAAATCATTCTTCACCTTGTATTTCAGGATTTGTTTCTTTGAAGGAATTATCCAGCAGCTCATACTTTTTACATCAGATTTAAACTTTAGGTGCATTACAGACTGACTTTTCCTAAAATGTAAGAGCCTGGAGGGCACAAAATGTCAATCCCAGATCCCATGTTTCTCACCAAATGACCACATCCAGCACCACCAGCTATGGGAAGTAAATTTGTATGCACCAGTGGGTGCTCTGATCTGGATTAAATGCAGACAAAGAGCTGGAGTTCTTTTAGCTTTGTCCACTTTTTCTTTGAGCTCCTACAGCAAACTGTCAGTACTTGTTTCTCCCTCTGTCTCTCTTTGCCATTTGTCTCTGGGAAATAGTTTGTGTGGGGAGAGCTGGGCTGGCTCTCCCTGCTGATGTTATCTCTAGATGCAGCACCTTTGGGCACTGCTATTGGGAGCACAAAGTGTTTGCTCTCCCCCTTTAGCTTTCCAGGGAACGTGTGGAGTTGGCCATGGGAGGGTGGCAGCAGCAGCCCAGGAGCTTCAGGGGCTGTTCCAGCCCCATGGCCCTGGAGCCTGGCTGGGGCTGTTCCACATCCGTGGCCCTGGAGCCTGGCTGGGGCTGTTCCACATCCATGGCCCTGGAGCCTGGCTGGGGCAGGCTCAGCCAGGGCTCCTGGCTGTCCCACCCTGCTGGGGGGCACATACAGAGCTGGTTTGTGCCTGGCATGCTCAGACACAGCACTCACACCCACACAGGGCTTTTCTCAGCCCGGAGTCTGTCCCGAGTCTCTCAGTGGTGTGTCCTGGGCTCCTAGCACCAAAGCAGCTGAGTTGCCCAAGGACCCCACACAGGGGGTCAGGGACAGCCCAGCCTCAGCTCAGCCAGAGCTCTGCAGCTCTTGATGCCAAAGCTGTGCTGAAGGACCTGCATCTCAAACCTGGAGACCATCCCACCTCCAGATCATCCCCCCTCCAGCAGGATTCCCATGGGAATGGGATCAATGCAGGGCCAGGCACGCTGCAGTGCTGTAGCCAGAATAACCCCAGCCCCAGGCTGCTTCTGCAGCCCAGGTAATTAGTGAGACACTGACTCCTGCCCACTGCAGCCCAGGTAATTAGTGAGACACTGACTCCTGCCCACCAAGGCCATGGTCTTGCCTAATTTTGTCTGACATCAGATCGCCTGGGTCAGGAATTCCCATCTCCTGCAAATGTCTGCACACACACACCTTCAGTAAAGGTCAAGGAAAGTGTAAGTATTGGCAAAATTAGTGAGATTTTCACTCCAGAGAAGAACATGGCAGGGCTTGGAGAGTGGCCACAACATTTCTGTGGGCTGGGGAGGGCCTTGGGGAGGTGTCCCTTTCAGCTGGAGGAAGGTGAGGATTGATGATTTATATTATTACAGAGGCAATTGTAGCTCCTTAAATAAGACAAAGCTCCTCAAACTTTGGGAATAATGTTGAGATACATTTGTTTTGCTATTGGAAAGATTCATTGAATAAAAAGACTGTTTTAAGCTAATAAAATGAAGCCATGTCATATTTAGTCTTTCAACAAAATAACGTGAGAACCAAATCATGTGCAGAGTGGGACCAGGAATTGGAAAGGGCACTGAGTGGATGTGTAGCACTGACTGGACAGATAGCAAAAGGACTATGTCTCTTAAAGTTATTAAGAAATGTCTCTGCCACTTGTTTTATCCAAGTGTGAGATTAATCTCAAAAGGATGCTACTGTTGAAGTAACTTGCAGGACTGTACTAGCACCAAAGCTCTGAAATCTGAGGGCAGTACAAGTAATATCTGGTGCTTTTTGATTGGAAAAAAAAGAACAAGAGAGACTTCAAAAAAAGAAACCCTGCTGTCAGAGACAAATCCTATGGAATCTTTAAGAAATGTGAGAAACTGCATAAAAGCCACTCAAATGCAAGTTTAAAATTAGCAAAGGCGAACTTAAGCAGAAAAGATGGAAAATATTCCCATCAGTGGATGGTCACTAATTATATACACAGAGCTGCTGTCAGCTGTCTTCTGTAGGAGCACATTTTACACTATCTCCTCTGGCAAACTGACTGGGATGAGCTTGGAAAGGATTGTGTCCCACAGAGTGACTCATTCCAAACAGGCTTTGATACCTCACTTGAACATCTTATGAAGATCTTATTAAGCACAGCCAAAAGATGTTTTTTCTCATGTTTTTGATAAGTAAATCTGTGCA